CAAAAGACCCACAATAGCCAACACAATATTGAAGGAGAAGAACAAAGCTGGAGGACTGACACAACCCAATGCCAAGACTTATTATAAAGCTACAGTAATCAAGACAGTGTGTTTCCCGGCAAAAGAATAGACAAATAGATCAAGGAACAGAACAGAGAGCCCAGAAACAGACCCCATAAATACAGTCAGCTGATCTCTGACAAAGGGACAAAGGCAATACAATGGAACACAGATAGTCTTTTCAACAAATGGTGCCACAGCAACATGCAAAAACATGAGTCAAGACACAGACCTTACCCCCTTCACAAAAATTAACTCAAAATGGGTGCCAGCCCCATGGCTTAGCAGTTAAGTGCGCACACTCCGCTGCTGGCGGCCCGGGTTCGATCCCGGGCGCACACTTACGCACCGCTTCTCCGGCCATGCTGAGGCCACGTCCCACATACAGCAACTAGAAGGATGTGCAGCTATGACCATACAACTATCTACTGGGGCTTTGGGAGAAAATAAATAAATAAATAAAATTATTAAAAAAAAAAATTAACTCAAAATGGATCACAGATCTAACTGTAAAGCAAAAAAATATAAAACTCCTAGAAGATAACATAGGATAAAACCTAGATGACCTTGAGTATGGCAATAACTTTTTAGATACAACACCAAAGGCACATTTCTATGAAAGAAATGATGGATAAACTGGACTCCATTAAAATGAAAAACTTCTGCTATGCAAAAGGTAAAGTCAAGAGAATGAGAAGGCAAGCCACAGACGGGGAGAAAATAATTGCAAAAGACACATCTAATAAAGAACTGTTACCTAAAACACACAACGAGCCCTTAAAACTCAACAATAAGAAAACAAACAACTTGATTAAAAATTGGGCCAAAGTTCTTAACCAAGGAAGACATATAGATGGCAAATAAGCATATGAAAAGATGCTCCACATTATATGTTATCAAAGAAATGCAAATTAAAACAACGAGACACCACTACACACCTATTAGAATGGCCAAAATCTGGAACACTGACAATACCAAATGCCAATGAGGATGCAGAGCAACAGAAACTCATTCACTGCTGGTAGGAAGGCAAAATCCTACAGCCACTTTGGAAGACAGGCAGTTTTTTACAAAACTAAACAGACTCTTACCATACAATCCAGTAACTGTGCTCCTTGGTATTTACCCAAAGGAGGTGAAAACTTATGTCCACACGAAAATCTACACACAGATGTTTATAGCAGCTTTCTTGTAACTGCCAAAACCTGGAAGCAATCAAGATGTCCTTCAGTAGATGAATGGATCAATAAACTGTGGTACATCCCAACAATGGAATATTATTCAGGGCCAAAAATAAATAAGATATCAAGGCATGAAAAGACATGGAGAAAACTTTAATGCTCATTACTAAGGGAAAGAAGCCAATCTGAAAAGGCTACATACTGTATGATTCCAACCATATGACATTCTGGAAATGCAAAACTGTGGACACAGTAAAAGTGGTTGCTAGAGAGGGAAGAGGAGGCAAATAGGCCGAGCACAGAGGACTTTTAGGGCAGTGAAAATACTCTGTATGACACTATAATGATGGATATTTGTCATTTAACATTTGTTCAAACCTATAAAATATACAATACCAGGAGTGAACCCTAATGTAAACTGTAGACTTGGGTGACTATGATGATTCAATGTAGGTTCATCAGTTGTAACAAATGTACCACTCTGGTGGGGGATGTTGATAAATGGGGGAGGCTATGCATATGTGGCAGCAGGAGGTATATGAGAAATCTCTCTACCTTCCCCTCAATTTTGATGTGAACCTAAAACTGCTCTAGAAAAATAAAGTCTTTAAAAAAAAAGTTGTGTAGCTGCAACAGAGACCATAATGGCCCCGCAAAGCCTAAAATATTTACTATCTGTCTTTAAGAAAAACTTGCCTGTCCCTCGTTTAATATATTAAATGAGTGATTAGATCAAGAGACGCAGTTTCTACCCGCCTCTCAAACTCTCATTAAGTTATCACAAAAGACAACTTAAAAATTTTATGTCCATTGTAATGTAATAAAAATTATCATTAACAAATATTGGGGAACTCATGGAAGAGGAAAAAGTAGACTGGATCAGGATCCAGAACAGAGATGCTACAGCTACAATCACTGAAAACAAAACGCCACTGCAAAAACAGAAAGCGTTCTTCATTTAAAAAGTCCCAGAAAAATTCCAATTTCAGAATCAATAAAATAGAAAGAGGCTTGGAAGAAACATCAAGGTAATGTTTACAATTGGACCCGTCTTAGCCACTCCTCCTAGCATATACAGTCATGTATGCATCAGGCAATTTTGTCATTGTGTGAACATCATAGAGTGTACTGATACAACCCTAGACAGGATAGCTTACAACACACCTAGACTATATAGTACTAATCTTATGGGCCCACAATTGTATATTCTGTCCATAGTTGACCAAAATGTCATTATGCATCGCTTGACTATATACAAAGTTACGGACAGCATCAACTTTTACTTCCAAGATCAACCTCTCTGACCAACATGGAAACCATGTCCACGCTCTGCCTTAGGAGACATCTGACCATGAGGTTGAAGCTGGGAAGAAAAGCAGAGGAGAGCCCCCGATAACACCAGCACGGGATAAAAAAATGTAGAAAGTCAACAACCACCATTCTAGGAATCAAAACACATACATTCTAAAACTTAGCTCTAAAAAATATATAAGTGAACAACAATAGCAAAACCACACAAGACGCCAAAAGATGTTACCTAGTCAAATTCTACTAATCTTTCAAATAACAGATGATTTTCCTGTATAGCACAGAAAAAGATGGAAAGCTTTTCACCTCATTCTATGAAGGTTGTACAACCTTGATACCAAACCAGAAAAGGGTAACACAAAAAACAAAATTGGATCAGTCTCATTTATTATATCAGAATATATAAAATTGAATCCAGCAGTGTAGATTAAAAACCACCATAACCACTAACCACAATGACCAGGTAGGGTTTATTCTAGTAATAGAAGGCCAGTGCAGCATTATTAAGTCTACTAATACGATTTAGTATATAAAGGCTAAATGAGATAAATTCTAATATACACCAATTGTAATCCTGACATATATCAAAAAAGCAGTTGACAAACTTTAATACTGATTCCTGATTAAAAACAGCAACAAACTCCTAACAAGGTGAAATAGAAGAAAACTCCCTGAACTTGATAATTACTAGAAAAATATTAAAAGTATTTGTCAAAGTCAAATAAAGATAAGGATGAACACTCCCACTTCAACAAGTGAATATTGTACCAAGGGACTTAGCCAATGCAAAAATATATGAAAAATATATAAGATTAAAATGTTGGGGGGAAAAAGATTAAAATTGCCTTATTTATAGATAATGAACTTTTTATCTGGAAAACACAAGAAAATTGAAAAATAATAAATAATACAAGTAATTAGTAAATTGGCATGATATAAAATAAGCACATAAAATTTAATAATTTTCCTACAGACCTATGATAACCAGACTTCAACAGAAATGGAGGGAAAAGATCCCATTTAAAGAAATAAATGCTATAAAATAGCTATGAATAAATTTTAGGAAGAAAAAAGGTACAAGACCAAGGCCAATGTGAAGAAAACTTTCTTGAAAGACATTAAAAAATGAATGACCCCCCTCAAAATGAGAGCCATGCACATCATGGATGGAAAGATTCAATATCATAAAAATGTCAATTCTTTCTAAATAAGATTGAGAGGAATTCCACCCACAGTCCCACGAGAGTATTTTTTCTCTTTGCTTTACAAACTAACAATTCTAAATTCATTTGAAAGAACTAATGTGTGAGAATTACCAAAGAAAATCTTTAAGGGAAAAACAAAAAGAACAGTGAAGGGAACTTAGTACCTTCTAGACATTAAAAGTTTTCCATTTAAAGCCACTGGAATTGAATTAGGGTGGCACATTAGGAGACAATATCTGTGATACATTTAACAACAAAAGATTAATATAAAAATGGCTTTTAAATTAATAAGTAATTATGCCCTAGAAAAGAAGATGAAGGATGTGAAAGGGCAATGTACAGAAGGGGAAATGCAAGTCTACTTGAAAAGATAAAACATCACACAAGCATTCACACAAGGAAATGCAAATTAAAATGCTAAGATGTCTTTTTTTTTTAACCTTGGCAAACTTAAAAAATAGCAACATTAACTGCTGTCAGGAATATGAGGAAACAGCTACTGTCATGTAATTAATGGGAATATAAATTATTACAACCTCTCTGGAATATAATCTGGTAGGATTTTTTAAAATGTAAAATGAACACATGATACTTAGAATTGCAATTCCATGTTTAGAATTCATCCTATAAGTACACATACTAACGTTCTAAAAGACTGGGTACAAAGATTCACTGCTTTATTTTGAACAACAACAACAACAAAAAGCCCTAAATGTTCATTAATAATTTAAAATTTAAGAAATAATTTAAAATTCTGGATAAGACTATGCCATGGATTACTATGCAGCAATATATTAAAAAGTATTAATAATAAAGCAGATTGATATGTACTGAGATATAAATATTACACAGAAGTCTGTGATTCTAAGGAAATAACATGATCTAGTTTACGTAAAAACCAAAAAATTCCAAATCTATAAATATGTTTGGGTATGCAGTTATTTAAGAGATACAGACACTTAAATCAAAGGCTGATGCCAAATTATTCTCTTTGTTTTCTAATAACTACCTTCATATGCCATGTTATCATACATAGGAGATATCTTTAATTATAAAATATTTTTCACAATTTTTAAAATTAAATACATTACATGCCGGTTTACAGCAACCAGCTATATAGGTCATGCTTATCTAATTATATATTAAGTTTTTTTGCCAAAGTTTATATAAAGACAGTGCGCAACTTTTTAAATCTGACATTAAGGCCATCTTCAGTATGCTAAAAGGAGAATTTAATTGTGCTTACCGATTTCATTAATCACTGCTCTTATTTTGGAGACAAAAGGACCAACTTCACTGGAATTCATTTTGACTCTTTCCTTAAGGTCAGCACCTGTAAAGTATTTTATTTACAAATATAGTCTAGTTATAAACAAAATTTTAAGGCAATGAACTGAAAATTTACTTAAGATTCACACATAACTTGAAGATTCACTGAATTTATCTGTTAATCTGTTAACTTTTCCTTCTCAAAGACCAGCATCAGGAAGAATTAAATATTTGCTTGTTCATACATCTACCATGTGCTTAAAGTAGTGGTTCTCAAACTTGGTGGTCTCAGGACCCCTTTACACTCTTAGAAGAAGAGACTTTGTTTAGATTACATCTATCACTAGCTACTCTATCTGAAACTACAAAATTTGTGAAATATTTATTTACTCACTTAATAACATAAATAAATCCATTCATATTAACATAAATGACTACAGATTGATGCCACTTCCTTGGTTCTTGCAAAGAGGCTGGCAGTTTTACCCACCATTGCTTTTGCCCCATCAGTGCAAACGCCCACCCAGCGAAAAGGGCAAATCACGCCTTACTGCTATGAAAATCCTTTTGACTCCGTGGACGCCTGCCTTGGTTTGAGAATCACCGGCTTTAAAGTATGAACAAACAGACAATTTCATAATTATGAGTTTATGAGAGAATAACTCTGGAACTGAGAAAAGTACACATAAGGATTCCTTAAGGGATCATTTACTCTGTGGCTCAACAAAGACATCCTTTTAAACAAAATTAAACTATCCGAGAAAAGGTAGGCCCCCACTTAAATAAACAGACAAAAATCAAAGTAAAATTACAGCATAGAAGGTGCACACTCAGCTACTTCCTCTCTTATTAGTTCATTATAAACTGATCATGACTAGAGACAGTATCTAGTAGGAGCTGACGCTGGGACATTCTGAGCCCACACACCTCCAGTGGAGTGAGAATTGCAGTTGACAGCATATCCCACAACTCATCAGTTCTTAGGTATATATACCCTAGAAAATCTCTCAAACATAAGCCCAAGGAAATAGGTACATTAACATTCAATGCAACATACAAAAAATAACACAAAATTGGAAGTAAATATCCATCAAAATGATTATTAATAAAACTGGGACATATTTATACAACAGAATGTTATACGTACAGCGTAAAAATGAAGGAATTAAGAGTATAAATATGGATAAATCTAACAATGTTGAAGGATATATAATACATATAATTATATATTAATATATATGTTAATATAATACATGTAATTTATAATTATATATAACTACAGAAAGATACATAGGATAATAACCATTTACATAAGTTTTTAATACAAGAATGCTATTTAGGGATATAAAACATGCATGGAAATTATAAATACCAAATTCAATTGGTGGTGACCTTTGGAGGGAGGGAGAGAGATGTGATTGGCAATGGGCACAGAGGACTTTAATCTTATTTGTAGTATTGTATTGCTTAAGTTATATGGTGGGTACTCAATCTATTAGTCTTTAAATGTTTTTGGATGCCTCAATATACATCTTCATAATTAATTTTTGCCATGAAGAATTAAAATTTATCATGGAATAAAACTGTTAGTAGGGCCAAAAAAAATTCTAAACTAGTAGGATGTATTTGTTAAAAGAAATAATGGTTCAACTCACTGTCATTTAACACTGAGAATATAATTTTAAATTGAGAATATAAAATGTTGCTTAGTGCATGTTGGCTAATACATATTGGTTAATAAAAGTAGCTAAATGTGCAATATGAGGGAGAGGAATAGACAAAAGAGGAGCAAAGCAATGAAGAGGAGAAAGATGATGGGAGAGATAGGGACTCCAGATGAGGTGGTCCTGAAGGAGTCCCCTGTAACTGCATCATGGGGTCCATCAAGTCCTCCGGCCTCAAAGTGGGTTATACCATTAGGGAGCCCTCCAACACACCAACTAATGCTCTGATGCGGGGGGGCTTTCTCAACATTCTGACTCTGTGACCACACAGCATACTCTGAAAACCATACTCAGGTTAAAGAGACTAGGCTGCTGGAAGCCAGGTCAAGAGCTAAAAGGAATCCAGGTTTGCTCTTGACAGGTGTAGCCCATTCACTGCACACCAGTCCCAGCAGAGAGATGTGAAAGACATGTTCTGGTTATTGAGGGCAGCCTTATCCACACAACCATGTGAGACCGCTTCAAGATTCAAGGTTTACTGTAGAAATAATTACCTTTCTCCATGGAATATTAAACATTCATAACCTTGTGACTACTTTTTAAAAATTTTAATATCCTTTTTGTTTTACTTTGGAAACATACCCTGGAACCTTGAACACATAGAACCTAAAAATAAAGTTTCACCTCTATTCCTTCTGAGATCATGAATTTTTTATATGACAGCATCCAAAGTTTTATTCGAGGCCTAGTATTCCCCAGTCCTTTTATTGTCTAAGTTCACTATTTAGAAAGCAAAAAAGTAAATACTTTTTACCTTTTTAAATCCTCTAAGTCCATGACCATTCCCCTCAGGTGAGCCCTTTCACTGCCTGGCAATCCTACTGTATTTCCCTCCTCCATTAGCTCTCCTATTCATCTTACAGTCCATTTCACAACATCCCTCTCTCCTCAAACCTCAAAACCTCCTACCCAATCCAATACCAGCTTACTAAGAAAACAGAAGTATTCAGAAGAGAAATCCCACCAGCACCCACCACCAAATCTACCCGCCTACCAGGATCTGAACCCATACACTCTGCTCTCCCTTCCTGTTACTACAGATAGACTAACTCATGACCGAGGCCAAATGTCCCTCTTGGGCACTAGATTCCATCCCTTCTTATCTCCTCAGGGACATCACTCCAGCAACTCCAGGAAGCCACTCTTCCTGGCTAGCATCATCAATGGTATCCCTCCTTAGAGAATCATTCCCCTCAGCTACAGTAAGGCTATAATACAGTCATGCGCCACGCAACGACGTTTCAGTGACGGACCACATATATCATAGTGGTTCCATAAGATAGTACCACACAGCCTGTGGCCTTACGGTGGTAATCATCTCACAATATATGTAAATCAAACTATCATGCTGTATACCTTAAACTTATACGTGATATATGTCAATTATCGCTCAATAAAACTGGAAAAACAATATGTTGAAAGCAAAGAATTGGAAACTGCCAGAAAAGAATAGGATCCCAGTTGAAACTCTCAATATCAGTATTTTAAAAGACCCCTTTTTTGGCAATGTAGCAGCTTTTTTCTCTCCCTGCAGCAAGAAAGCAAAGTAAGATCAGGACTGCCTGCTGTGAGGTGCAACAAGGGCAACTATGAAAGAGAAGACAGTGAAGAGTAACCGCAACCTCAGGACGAGCATGCAAAGTTTTATCAACGGTACATTTGTGAGTTGTGTATCAGCTAGATCCCTTCAAAACTATCCGTACCTCCTGAACAGGCCAGCCCTGCAGGTCGAGTGGTTAAGACTCAGCGCTCAGGGCCGCAGCCCAGGCTCCTTTCCTGGTCAGGGCACCACACCACCGTCTGTTGGTTGTCATACTGTGGTGGCTGCGTGTTGCTGTGATGCTAAAAGCTCTGCCACCAGGATTCAAATACCAGCCAGGTCACCCACGGTGGACAGGCTTCAGCAGAGCTTCCAGACTAGACAGACTAGGAAGAAGGACCTGGACACCCACTTCCAAAAAAACTGGCCATGAAAACCCTAGGAACAGCAGTGGAGCATCGTGTGACATAGTGCAGGAAGCTGAGAGGATGGCACAGAAAGACTGGGCAGCATTCCGCTCTGCTGTATATAGGGTCCCTAGGAGGAAGTATCGACTCCACGGCACTAACAACAAAATTTATCTATTCCAGCTAAAATTTCAAATTTATTGGCATCAGTTAATCTTAATATTATCCTACCAGTTCAATCTCCATGGAATTTATACCATGGTCTCCTTTTTCAATCTGAATATTGTTTATTTGTTCCCTCACCCTTGATTAATCTTGTCAGAAGTCTGACTATAGCCATGCGCCGCATAACAAAGCTTTTGTCAACAACGGACCGCATATCTGACGGTGGTCCCGTCAGATTAGCACCATAAAGCCTAGGTGCGTAGTAGGCTACACTCCACGAGGTTTCTGTAGGTACACTCTATGATGTTCACACAGCGACCAAACTGCCTAACGACGCATTTCTCAGAATATACCCCTGTCGTTAAGCGACGCATGACTGTATTTGACTCTACAAAGAACCAGCTTTTGGGCTTTATTATCCTCACTACTTGCATGTTTTTCATGTCATAAGTTTATGCTCCTTTTCATTTCCTTCCTTCTACCCTATCTGGGTTTATTCTGTAGTTATTTTTGTCATTTCTTAAGTTGAAGTCTTAGTTTATTCATTTTGAGCCTTTATTCTTTCCTGAAGCACGATCTTAACTATACTACGCAATTTTTAAAATATTTTGTTAGAATTTAATTCTGAGTATGTTCTAATTTCCATTAAGATTCCTCTGTTGAGCTGTAAATTATTTAGAAGTTATTTTAAATTTCCCAATGTAGGAGACTTTTTCTAATTAGCTTTTTGTAAATGACTTCTACCCTAACTGTCTATAGTCAACAGAACTCAGCCTTTGAAATCTGTGGAGGTTTTATAGCCAAGCACACGGTTAATTTTCATGAATATTCCATGTGTGCTTGAAAGGAATGCATGGTCCCCAACCACTGAGGACAATGATCAACACAGGTACATGACACTAAGATTCAGCAGACAGGGAAAAATAATCAACACCCTTTATCAGCTGGGGCCAATAGACCCTTTGTATTTTATTTAATATTTAGGTCATTTTATAAATAATTTACAGAAAATAGAACAGTGAAAAAGCAAATTTATTTGAAATTTTAGTCAAAATTTAAATATACCAAATCTGTATTTTTATTTTATGTCTTCCTGGTACGTGTATATATGTGAATACACACACACATACCTACAAATACATACATATATATGTATATATACTCACAGATACACACACACAGAAACACATGTGAAAAGGGCTGTATCATTTGAATGAAACTGGTCGTC